CTTCCATCATTTAATAGGGATAAATGATGTGTATGTGCTATGTCAGCAAGGCACCTACCCCGAGGATTTGTGCGATGGCTGCCCCATATATAGTGGTGTGCGTTAAAATCGCCTGTAATTATATGTGGCGATGGGACTGTGTTCAGAATGTTCTCTAAGCGTGCTCTGTCGAACTTGGACTTTGGAGGTATATATGCTCCTATAATGGTGAATGAGCACGTACATTTTTCATCAGAAATTGTAGCACAAACATACTCATTGTCCGGGTGGGATGGAATAATATGTGCCACGTACGTAAGTTCTCTGCGAATGAAGAGAGTCACACGACTTTCCCCATTAGTACGTAAGGAGTCAAACTTTTCGTATCCTGATAAACGCATGTTGCAAGGCAACCTGGACTCACAAATAACAATAATAGGGTACTTGTACTTGAAAGCCAGCTGTCTAAAATCGGACAATCGGGACCTTAATCCTTTTGCCTTCCATTGGAAAATAGTGGCCTTTTTATAATTATCTTCAATTGCACCCGATGTTATTTTCAATTGTTTTAAGAATCATTTGAAGCCTTTAGCAGGTGTTCCATTGCGAGAAACGCCCTTACTTCTGGCAGATTGTTAGCGTCCGGTGATGTTTTCAGAATGGCCTTTAGTGCTGCGAAGAACATTGGTAGCAATACTTGACTTACGTCACCTTGCTGACGGGACGTAAATCGTGGCGTAGGCACAGATTCCGAAGAAGCCAATGGACGATGGTTGCTGAGGATCGAACGTTCGGTGTTGCACGTGGCGCATCCATAGTCGATGTCTCGGCGGCATTCTTCTTTTGTTGTGCGACACTGTTGCTACGTGTCTCTGTAGTCATATGTGCCACACGTGCTTTGGGACGACGATTTACTGCACTGGCGTATGTAGGTTTCTCTGGTTTTTCTTGTTGAGTCGGAGACAACGTCGGGAGTCGGACGACCTCAGGGTTAGGTGAAGGCGCACGGCGCCTAAGAGCTCGGCCGTTCATTATGCTTGTGCGAGCTGCTGCGGTTGCTGCATGCTTCCGTGGGCAGCCGGAGAAGGATGCTGAGTGCTTGCCGTCGCAATTGGCACACTTTGGTTCTTGTTTAGAAGTGCAGTTCTTGTAGTGATGCGGTCCAGCGCAGATTTTGCAACGTTGTGGGCCTCGGCAATATTTGGCAACATGGCCGTATCTTTGGCATTTGAAGCACTGAACCGGTGGTCCAAAGTACTCTTCGACGGGGTGACTAGTGAAGCCAAGGAACACGCGCTGGGGCATCGGGCTGTCCGGACGAAACACAAGGATAACGCTTCCAGAGGGTCGTGGTTCGACAGTCCCATCCTCCTTCCGAAGGTATGCAACTTGTCGTTGCACGGACGTTACCCCGGCGTCAAGAAAGTACTCGAGGAGTGCAATGTCGGTATACTCAAGAGGCACATTCTTAATTTTTCCTAAATTTCTTGAGTATGTCTGTGGCACGGTTGCAAAGACCTTGATGTTTCCTAGGGATTGCAGCGTCAGTAGTTTGTTTGCGGATCCAAGTGATGCCACGTTCACAGGGAGGCTTCCATCCTTGTTGATCTTGTGTGACAATACCTTTTCTTGTGTTACCGCAACGATGTCTTTTGCAATTGAATTTGGGTTCACCTTCCAAAATGACGATTCAGGTGATGTCGGTTTGAAGATGACCGGAATTCCAGATGGCCTGTTCTTATGATACGACACTTTGATGAACGGTGGAGTCGTCTTCGTCGTCCATGTTGTTAACGGATAATTTGTCCTCATCTGCATTGGATATTTCTTCCGTACGCACTCTCTTGGGGGGTGGAATCTGAGTGGCCATCTCAATGGTTGAGGTTTTTTGATTCGAAGGATTCATTTGATCGCAGGGTCCTGATGGCTGCGAGGGTGGTGATCGGGACCATGTAGCCGGTGGCCGTTGTTTGTGGGTCACAGGTTGGTGCGGTGCCGCATTCTCGGCCAGGGGGACGTTTTAATATAAAATTGCAAATGTGAAAGAACGCAGGAATGACAGGGAAAGCAGGAAAAGGGTTTGCTTACGCGGAGCGAGCAAATCGGGCTTCCTCCAACACCTGTAGGTTTCGTTCGTAACTCTCCGGCGAAATATGATCGGAGCAGAGCTTCGATCTGGGGGTCGACGTCCAAGGCTTTCCAAAGTCCACTCGTCGAACAGCGTTCACCCACACCTTCTCCAATTTCCGATCCGTTGGAAACTTGTGAAAAAGCACCTCCGGGTTGCGCAGCGGCTTGTTTGAGCAGCCCACAGCGCTTTAAGTTGTACTCAGCATCTTTCGAGGAACAGCTGCGCAGTCTTGTGCGCACCGAGTTGCTCGCTAAAACGGGTCTAGGAGTCCTCACAAGCAAATAAACAAAAAGCTATACCGAAGCTACACGGGCTACAGGTAAAAGCAACGGCTAAACACGCAATTACAAGCCGAAGTAGCGGTAATAGCGGCACAAAGAAGCGCGCGCGACGGCTGCGCCGTGCGCCCGTCCGGAACGGAGGAAAAAAAGAGGACGACGTTGACATCACGGCCCAATTATGCTTTAGCGATCGGCAACCCGCTGGCCGCCCGCTAAGGAGCAGCGGCTCGCGGCGGGTCGCGTTTTTATTATCGGCATTAGTTGAGAATGCGGCGTCCCACGGACGTGAAATTTTGGCTGGGGTCGTATTTTGTGTCACTAAAGCTATACCAGTAATTTAATTCATTTTGAGTTTTGGCCGGAGTTGCCCTTTAAACAAAGAAGATACAAAGAAAACTATTTACAGCAATGGTATTAGCAAAGGTTCTACAAAACTATCTAGAACAGCGATATCAGTAGATGTTACACACGCGGCTTCCACAGTTCTTAAAGCCATTGGAAAAATGTTCGTCATACGTTGGGTCTTGGAGTCTTCTGTTGTTGCGAAGGTGGAGATGGCTGAGCGGGCGAAGTGTAGGGTTCCGGGTCTTCAGAAGTCCGGACGAGCCCAGCAAAGGCGGAGGGCAGGCTGACGAGTCTCTGAGTTCCCGGACTTGTGGAGCCAGGACGCACCCAGCGGGAGCGGTGGCCAGGCCAGCGCATTCTTGAGTTCTCGGCCTAGTCGAACCGGGACGAACTCAACAGTCCGCCAGCTCCTCGGATCGCTTTTCTTCTACCTCTTTTCGTACTTTTTCGCTCGTGCCTTTTCTCCAGCCGTCGACGGTATACCTCGTGGCACGCGGGGCCACGTCATGGCGAAAACATCTGTAGCCCGGTGATGGCTCTCAGCCGCGCACATCAGAGTGAAAAACAACAGCACCCACGACCGAAGGAAACCCACCAATCTCAATAAATGCCTGTTGTAAGGCATGACCTTCTGTTTCACCTGGCCACCTGCATTGTAGATGAATTTGAGTCAGTCTATAGCACTATAACATTAACAGTGATGGTTTTTTTTGTTATGATCACGTGCTTAAAAATAACACAGCTATCCTTCATCGTCATCAATAGTGAGCAATAAAAGCCTCGTCTGCACAATGACCGTACTCAGTAGCCGCAAGACTAGCTCAGTAGCACCAAGTGCATAGTTGGGAGTGCAGAAACCAGGCTGTTTGTAAATATCTGCACTCCTACTTTATTTGTAGTTTAGTTGAATTTGCACCTGCACCAAAAATAGGTACTAAGGAAGTCATTTTGTACACTCCAGTTGGTTCGTGTAATTTTACTGCCCAGTTCACTGGTCTGCGTGTCACGCTCATAACCAAAGAAGAAATATCGAGTGCTGAAGCAACACTTTTAATGTTCCTTTAGGGAGGTACCAGTATACGTGGGGATCGATGCGCTGGCAGGTATTCAGGCCAGCTAGCCTACAGCTTAGGAAACAAAAATGAAAGGGTCGTTGCGCAGGTGATGCGCCGTATATAGATTGCAAAATAGGGGTGCTGAGAAGACCACCTTCAACGAATTCAGGTGTTTCAGCGAACACAATTCACGCACCGAAATTTCTATACAAAAGATTTTTGAAATAACGGTGATTGCTCATCGAACTATCTAGGCCCAGGCTTTTTTCTCAGAAAACTGGCCTGCACATGCGCCTAGTATCGGGATGCGCCAGAGATTCTCCAGACCACTTACCCTAAGAAGTCTGGGGCACGACGTGCCAAGGCCAGAGTTACCCGCCTCACAGTCCGCGAAGCAGTGGAGACGTGCACACGGATGTAGTCCTCTGCGGTTATGAGTGTTGTGGGCGGCGCTAGTGTCAAGTTCGGACACTTTCGGTAATTGGGTTGCGAACATTGTGCCCGCGTCTTCTGTAAAAAGCCATGGCCTCATGAGATAAACATGCTTTTTGGTTCCCGGCTCTCGAATGTCTGTACGTTCACTTGGCTCAGTTGCTTGCTTGCCGTCGCTGGTGGGCCGTGCAGTCTGACCGCCGGCCATAGCCCGGCACGACAATGAGGAAGTTCCCCGTGGCGTAGAACTGTAGGGCGACAATGACCTGCTGCTCTGCAGAGAGGGCGCGGCTGCGACGCGTCGGCCGCTCGAAGTCCGGGCGCAGTGTGTCGGCGACAAACATAATGCCCGCGCGACCGTCGAACTCCTCCAAAGGGTTCAAGCGGTCACGGAACACACGCTGCCGGCCCATCACCACAACACCGTACTGGGCGAACACGCGCTCTCTTCGTTGTCGGCGTCGCGTCACAGTCGACATTGCGTACCCTATGGTCGATTCACACGACGGACTGATCCGCGGACGGATTGGTCACGTGACGACAAATCCGCGGACCCTCAGCTCCCGAGAGCATCCACACGGCGGATGAGACGAGCAGACGACAACTAGGAGAACTCTCGACCCCACAGGCCTGCCAGGCCCACGAAACGCCAACAGAGCACTGTTGTCCAGAGTAATCGTCAAGATGGAGGTGGATCGAAAGCGTCGTTTGGCCGCGATGGCCGCAGCGTTATCTTGCGATGAAGATGAGTCGTGTGCGTCAAAGAGATTGCTTTGGATGAAAGACTGGATGTGCCGAAAGGAACGCGGTAAGCAAAACCAACTTTACGAGGAGCTCCTCCACAGCGATCCCGAGGAGTACCGCAGGCTGCTGCGCATCAGCCGCGAGCAATTACTGCAGCTGCTGTCTCGCGTGGGACCCAGAATAGCGCAGCAGGACACTGTGATGCGGCGAGCAATTCCACCAGAGGCACGGCTACAAGTCACTCTTCGTTTTCTTGCGACGGGTAAGTAACTTCACTCCAGCCTTCCTTTGTTGTACAGCGCGTAATAAATTTCTGGAGGCTACGACCTCGGATCTGTTATCACCCTCACATGTTTGTCTCTCTTGTCGGCGGGTTCCCGCCTAAGCCACCCCGGACCTCTCGCCTGGAAGAATGTAAGAGCTAGCTGTGCAGATAGCTGGACGGGGCAGTGTTCGTCGAATGTTGTCAGGAGCTCGGGATGTGTTCGAGCTAGCGGTGGCCGAGTGTGCAGCACGGTACATTTGCCTATGCACCTGGCAAAAAAGAGGGCCCAAATTGGTACTTAATAAGAATTAAATTTAAATATATACGGTATATATATATATTGGTACATCAACATGATCATCAAATATTCTGCAATATCCCTGCCCCAGAACCCAGTAGAACTTTTCGCTATCTGGCTTATGGAACAAGATATCTTATAGGCTCCTATCTGGGTTTCAGGTTTCCAATACATTTCCAGTTGCATTTCTTGGTACATAATCCAAATAGCGAAAGGTACCTTGGGTGTTGGGACCGGCATGTTTTAGAGCGCAGCTCTTAGGGGCCCGTTCCCGGCTTGAGCGGCGTCGCCGTCGGCGTCGGCGTTGGCGTCGGCGTTGGCGTCGGCGTCGGCGTCGGCGTAACCAAGGTCATCCCAAGGTCACGTGACCCCCAAGGTCACGTGACCCCTCCCAAGGTCAGTTCAAGGTCACGTGACCCCACGTGACCCCCTGAAGGTCACGTGACCCCTCCCAAGGTCATCTCAAGGTCACGTGACCCCAAGATGACCCCACGTGACCCTTTGAAGGTCACGTGACCCCCGAGGTCACGTGGTCTCCTCCCCAAGGTCACGTGACCACCGAGGTCACGTGACCCCAAAGGTCACATGAACCCTCCCAAGGTCATCTCAAGGTCACGTGACCCCAAGGTGACCCCCAAGTGACCCCTCTGAGGTCACGTGACCCCTCTGAGGTCACTGACCCCCGAGGTCACGTGACCCCTGAGGTCACGTGGGGGTCACCTTGGGGGTCACGTGACCTTGAGGTGACCCCCATGTGACACCCAAGGTCACGTGTCCCCCAGGTCACGCCTCCCCGAGGTCACGTGACCCCCCTCCCCGAAGTCACGTGACCCCCTCCCCCCGAGGTCACGTGACCCCCCCCCGGAGCATATTAAAGAATGAGGGGAGGAGGAGGGGTCTACCCTCCCCTCAGTACCCTTCACTCCTCCTCCTCAAGAGCTGCGCTCCAATTCGGCGTTACAGGGATTTGTAAACGGCTTTCCCTTTTTTTTTTCTTTTTTTAATACAGGACGATTTCCACTATCTTGAAGACATGTTTTTTGTCCTTGGGTGGTTATGTGCAACAAGTTGTAAGGTCTGGGGACGAATTTCTTTTGGGGAATGATAGGTTGTGGAAAGTGCCTCGTCCTGTATCCCTGTAAGTCCCGTGTTGTGTGCTCCTCCTTTTTGTCCAATAAAATATCAGCCGTGTTTGAGACTTCTGTGTTTGTGTCATGCTTTAGAAAACCAATTTCAGTTAAATCCACCACTTTTAACCAGGATCGGCTTGTTGTCACCCTCATTTCTTTTTTCTTTTCTTCGGTAATCCAATTATTTGTATCTAATATACTGCACTTCCTCGGTTCTGCCTGATGCATCTGGAGAACTTTCTGGATCATACCATTTTGAGATAAGCCGAAGAATTGCAACTTGATTTTTCTTCGTGCATTTGACAGGAGAGAGTCATCCTTCATTGAGCCGTCAATACAGGCTCGAACACTCAAGTGTCAATGACCTCATCCATGAAACCTGCACAGCACTCTACGAAGAGCTGAAGGAGGACTTCATAAGAACTCCAAAGACCGAAGAGGGGTGGCTGGATGTGATCAGTGGTTTCGCTCAGAAATAGCAATTTCCAAACTCTGCCGGCGCACTCGACGGCAAGCACGTCTGCATATGGAAGCCACCAAACTCTGGATCTGTCTACTTTAATTATAAAAAGACCCACAGTATCGTACTCTTCACTGTGATAGATGCAAACTGCAAGTTCATCTACACCGACGTCGGTGCCCCGGGATCACAAGGAGACGCCGGCATCTGGCAGACAACACCGTTACAACGAGCTCTGGCAAGCAAGAAAATCCATCTGCCAGAGCTGGTGAAGGTAGCGAGCTCACCAGACAAGTTTCTGCCCCCCGTTTTTGTGGGCGATGATGCATTTCCTATTGGAAAAAATTTCATGAAACCGTTTGGTGGCACTGACCTCACGGAAGAACAGCGGATATTCAATTACAGGTAAGTTTTGGTGGTATGTCAGATAGAGGTGAATATATGAATCCAAGTTAAAAGTTATTTACTCAATCAAAGCTGTATAACAGACACTTTGTGCATACAAACACTTCATGTGTTTTTTTATAAATGAAAGATTCTAACCGGCCAGTCTACCCGTCTCTTCCTGGATACGGCGCACAATTTTGAGAATGGGATTGCAGTGTTTCTGCTACAGATCAGGAATACCAAGAGATGTTTGCAACAGTACCGGCTAGTCTGTTGCAAACAGCTTCCAAGAAAAAGAGCCCTGGCAGCATCATAAGGACTGGAAATCAAGATTGCTCGGCTTGCATTCAACTTCAAGAAACCCCCTGCAGGTTTTACAGAACAAGAACCACTCGTCTGTGAACTGCTTGTCATCACTTGCCTGATTTGTGTCTGGTAAGCCGAGCTGGAAGGTATTGGGACAATATATTACGATCATCTATCTGTACTGACTTACCTCTCAGGCCACCGTCCTCCAAATCCAACAACTCGACTGATTGCCGACTGGCACGACAATTTATTGTAGCCAAAATGGCATTTCCCATGAATGTCCATAGCCTGTGACAGGCTCTGAACTCGGCAGATGCTGTGCCTCGAGCACGAGCTGTGTGCCTTTGATAATATACTTCGTCGCACACACAGCCCAAACCTGGGGGAAGGCAACGAGTGCATGCTGGAGACAGAACATCTTGTGGGTTTTTACCCTGTTATTAATTATAGGGAGGAGAGGTTTCGACAAAATAGTTGCTGCTACGTGCCGGCAACGTCCGAAAAGTGGCGTTCTTAAGTCATAATTTTACATTTTCGTCGCTGGCAGTCTCTTGGTTTCAGCTAGAATAGAAAATTCGGCTGCCAACTGATCTGCTTCTTAGTCTTGATGACTCAATCGATACTTGCCTGTTCCTTTCCAGGTTGTCTAGAGCTAGACGTGTTGTAGAAAACACACTCGGAATCCTGGCCAACCCTTTCAGGTGTTTGCTGACAGTGATAAATGCCACTCCCGGAAGGGCCACTGCCATCGTCAATGTTGCATGCGTCCTGCACAACTTTCTCAGCAACGACGTGCTACCCCAACAAGCATCAAGGGCAGATGCAGAGAAGGAACGCCGAGGTCGCCCAACGTTTTTCAGCTTCCCAGCATCGCGTGGACGTGCTAGCACATTTGGCGCTGCAGTGAGAGAGGATATGTGTAGTTTTTTCTAGGCAAGGGGTGCTGTGTCATGGCAGCGAGAGTCCGCCAATGTTGAGTTAGACAAACACTGCACACGCAGACCGAAGAAAGGAGTGCAGACAAAAAGAAGCAAGTAAACAGTTAACTTCAACTTTTATTTGGTCAGATGTCTTTCTATTACACTGAGTATTTCAGCCTGGCAGCGAACCAACTTTAATGGGTTCATTGGTCGCATGAGTGCTGCAGCAGCCTTCGCAAAATGTGCAGAGGCGTTATCTGCGTCGGAAGGCTGTTGAACAGCATCTGCTATTTTTTCAAGGACAGCTGTTCTCGCAGCCCAATCGTTAGCTGAGGGCTGCGAGCTTCGAGCTTTCCTTGACACGCTACTACTGCTGGCCGTACTCACAGCGGCAGGGGACGGCTCTGGCGCATACTCGATGCTGGCGTCCGGGTCGGCATCCTGGTCCGCGCTTTGCTCAGCGTTTTGCTGTAATTAAAAGTTGCATGCAAATTAATTATATCTATGCACAGAGCGAGTTATGCCAGCCTTCGTGGGCTTCAAGAAGGTTGACCTGCCCTGTCCTGCAGAGAAGGAAACAAACTCCAGTAATATTAAAATTATTTAATTTACAAGATGTTCAAGAACTGACTGTATTTTTTATGCTAAAGCAGGTGTTTTATATTGTCTTCATATGAGGGTACGGTACCTCATGACAGTTGAAATGCACTCCATGTCCCCAATATACTTGAGCAAAGTATTCGGTGTTCCTGCTTGCATCCCTAGCTTTATGTACTCGTTTCATGAATAAACATGTGCCAGTGTAATTCACAATGACAGTATGTAAAGTGCTTATGTGTGCACAGGGTGTGTGCACAGAGTGGCTAAAAAATTCATAAACGCTTGTAAACATAGAGAAAATGATATAAAGCTGGCATTTGTACTGCAGTGACTGAATTTCTCATTTACAGTGGAGACAGAGGACACCGCGTGGCGCAGTCCAACTTCCCGCTGTCAAAACTTGCACGCGAAAAATTACTTAGATTGATGCTGCACGTCTTGCGTTGATGTTTCAGTTGTCACTGCGGTGGCGTAACCGTAACAAGTCCATTGTGCCAATTAAAAAAAAAACAGGAAGAGATCATGCTCCTCTTTCCACTTCAGCGAGTGAACACGAGACAGAAGGTGAGTCGCTTCTTGCCCCCTCTCCAGCTTTCTCTTGCTAAAGTGAAAAGAGTGGGAGGAGCTTGTTCAGCTTTTCTTAACCTGCAAAAGGGTATAGTCGCTCAAAACAAGAATCTACACAACTGATAGCAGTGTATCGCAATGACTTCTGGAATGCCATATATAAGGCAGCTACAAAATTTACCGCCTCTGGCTCTGCCACCTCAAAAGCCTCGCTGAAGATCCTTGTCCCTGTCGGCTTGGCAGCATCTAGAAAGTTCAGACAATGGAACAACTTCCATTTGCCCTTGTATGAATCACAGGAAGCTTGGCCGCTTTTCGATGACTCCAGTTTTTTTTTCTCTGCACGGTAGGTCCTCCTTTTGTTATTGAAGAATGTCTTCAGCGTATCTGTAACACAAAACATATTTTACTCTTCAAGGGCTGCGGGTAATGCAGGGCACAATCACTCTGTAAGTAATTTGTTTTCCTGCACTTTCAGGTAAACAAGGTTTGCAGGGTTCAATACCATTGAACACCAATGTATGCAGCAGTAGCAATCCGCCACCGTAAAAAAAAAACAGAAAAAAAAAACTTCAAATCTGGATACAACAAACGCGTCGCACTGCGCCACCTCCGCAATAAGATTTCATCGGTCGGCTTGGCAAGAATAGCTTTCTGTTCGCAGTCTAGCAGAGATTTCTCTGGGGAGCCCATATTTTAAGCAACCGAGCCATCTCGAAGCAAGAGATCGCGTCTCCCTACGGGCGACCCGCAACACTGCAGGCACAGTGATGGGAGAAAGTCAAAGTCAAATTTGGGAGTTTTACGTGCCAAACCAACGACGGACATCTGGCACGCCCCAGCGGAGGACTGGGGATTAATTTAGACCACCTGGGGATCTTTTGACGTGCAATCGAAAGCTCGGTTACACGGCGTCTTCTCCGCAATAAGTCTCCGTCAGATGGCGGGCACTTCGGCCGGGATTCGAACCCGCCACATGGGGATCCGTAGGCCGACGCTCTCGCCTCGGAGCCACCGAGGTAGCGCACTGTAATGGGAAACGCGGCGAACAGTTTAAAGAAATATGTGTACTGGATGGCGTGAATACGGCCCAAACGTTTTCTGCATGCTCGGATGGAATAAGAAATGGAGTACATTATAGTCATAATACGTGCCGGGAACGTACGGACTGCATTTAGGGTAGCGGTTCTCCATCTCGGCGGCGATTTGTCACCACAAGGCGCCTTTCAAAGCGTTTTTAGAGTACTCGCTCATCGTCATGTCCCAAAGTGCTGGGAAATGCTCCACAAGCGAAATGAAAAACATGCTTGCTTCATTGCTTAATTTTGAGCCGTTCGAAGGGCCAGGGACAGCAAAAACGGACTACGGTTCGCCAGCCATCTTTTCCGCGCAAACCAGAAAAGTTTCACTGTTGCCAAACCAACTACGTTTTTCAAGCCAAAGCATTCGAGATCCTTCGTCAAAAGTCCGCGAAAGGAAAAGGCGCTCGACTTTATCAGTCCTTGCCTCCGCGGAGGTGGCGCGGATCGCAGGAATCGGTGACGTGCCGGTCACGTGGTACACGGTCCGCGGACGAAAATCGCGATTCGGTCAGTCGTGTGAATGGGCTATTATCTTCGCCAATCCGTCCGCAAATCAGTTGTGAGACAGTCCGGCAGTCAGTCGCTGGGCGAGTCGGAGGGTCGGTTGGACAAACGGCAGAGAAGACGAACAGTAAAAATCAGGTGATAACTAAAGCGCGGGAAACGTGCGTCGCAAAACACGGAGAACAAAACAACGAATCTATGAAGAGCGGTACCAGATCAGAAATAAACGCTACAAACTTATGCTGTGTTTGGCGACACAATAGATGCATCAAGATGTTTATTATTTCTTTTTAAAGTACATATATATATTTTCATGCATAAAACGAAACACTGTGATAATATAATGTTTTTATTTTTCTTAATAAAGAAAAAACTAGCGAAAAAGTTTCTTAAAAGGCTATTTATTTGCTTCGACCGGCAGGTGGCGGGAGCTACCGCATAAAAATAAAACATGGAGAAATTGCGCCTTGAGTTTTTTTCGAACGTGGCCTGGTACTCGGAAGTACCTACACTGTAAACAAAAATCCCGTCAAATTACGGAAATTGCCAGTTAATTTTTGATGCCGGTACAATTTCCGTTGTCTTGCATAACGGTCACAGCATTAACTAGGTATTACGTGCATGACAGTAATGAGGCCCTACGGTTTTTG